TATGGAAATATAACAAAAATATAAATTTGTTTATTTGTTTAGCATTAAGAGATTTTTAGTTACAAGAGGGAGAGAAATTGAACTTTAGGTAAAATATATCGACAGGATATGCACGATTAAAAATTTATTCGTGCGAAGAGATGTGCATCCAGAATGAGCTGTTGTTACGTTATTGTATATACTTTTTTGCTCTAGGGCATCTGTCCAGGAAATCGATTGAGGCTTCTGGTTGGCCAATACGATACGGGGGGTTGTTTGGTCGGCAGCAGGGCCGACCTAACCATTGCAGAAGATGGCATACAGAGACATGGGAAAAGACGTAGCTGGCACGTACAGCCCAACAGGGTGAGTTATTTGAAACTATTCTCAAATCACACATATTTTGAACCTACATGTACAGACTTATATGTATATGTAGACATTGCATTTTACGCGTCTATTCTTATTCTTAAATCACAAGCGGAAGTATATTCTATATTGCTGCGTAACGTTTCATATTACTGACTTAGTTTTCGTCTATGAATCGATTTTGTTATTATTCGGCCCTCGTGTAACTTACAATAAAATATATACAGTAAATATGTTAAAAACTATTTTGTAACATGCATAAAAATTGTACGAATAATTGCAAAATTGATTTAATTATCATACAAAGAGGAGTTAAAGTTAAAAATTCGTGTATATCTTAAATACAAAATGTAATGTATGCATCCATAAGCATTCAAGAAATCGTAATATTGTAAATACTATTTGTTTATGAACTTTATAATTCTAACTTTAAACGCGAATTCTTTACGCCTGCAAATGGAATTCTGAAGGATTCAAAAACATGTAATTACAACGATCATTTTTCCATGCTTCGTATTTGAACGATGCTTTATTGGCCCGCCTGCAACAGCTGGCTTCTCAAATTAATATATCCGCTAGCTGAAAAGGCACACAAGAGCAACGGCGACTCCCTATCGATCGATCATTTGTAAATGCAACTACTATGGACAGGGTTTTCCAAACGTGATATGAGTCCAAGTCTGATCGGTCTGTAGATTTATATATGTTCCTTTAACCCAGGAAGTTACTTAATTTTTTTTTTTTTTAAAGATGACCTATAATACTTTTTATATCCAAATTAATAGTCATTATTATTAATTAATATATATTATTATATATAATATATATTATTAATTTTTTTACTAATTTATTACTAATTGAGATCATTATGTATATTATATTTACCTGATATTTTTTTTAAATAAGAAGAAATAAAAAATAAGTATGAATTCCAAATAAAGAAAACTGCTGTGATTAACAATGAGCTTTGTTTTATTGCTATTAGGATAGTAAATCATTATAAGTAAATCATTATAATTATAAGTGAATATTGAATTCGCGGATTAAGGAGAATCTTGATGTAAAACAATATAATTTATGTATTTAATTAATTATATTATTTATTAACAATAATGTGCTATTTTATTGATAATCTTTCCAATTTTTTAAATTATAAACGTATAGATTTAGACACGCGCGAATTTACAAATGAATGAAGATCAATTTTTTTATTTTTTATGGCTAGAAAATATAGCCACACAAATAATAAAACAGTCGCTTATTATAAATTGATAATATTGCTTTCAAATAACTAAAAAACTTAATTATCAGAAATATGATCCTGTTTCGAACAAAGTGTATCAGTTCTGTTCAATAATAGGATATATAAAATGAAATCTAAATTATCTCTTTCGTGCAACTGTTCATGTAAGCTCCCTTTATTTTTTATACAATATGCACTCCGGTTTCGTGAATGGGATGGGACAGTCAATTCTTCATCGGAATGTCGGAGAGCTAACCAAACCACAAATATTCGTGTTACTTTCCTGATTTTTCTGTCCGAACAATTATATCGCTTCGTTGGTCACGAATTGGGAGACCCTGCATCGCGGAATTGACAATGGCGCTCAGACAATTCATTGTGCTCGTTGTGGGGGCCGACCTTTTACGCCCCCATATTCGCTGAAACAGAATCTGTCAAAATCAGCTGACTACCACTTGGTTCGTTCGGCTCTTCTGGATGGCCGTCGTCGCGGCTATCGCTGCGTATCTGGCTCTGTCGCGTTTTAACATCTGCCACTGACATCAATTCGATAAATGAATACGAGCACGGTCGATTAAAGCATTGTGTTTGTCCACTATATATGTATAGCGTTAGAGCGAAAGTAATTGCTTTTGTATAAAATTATCGCTGATTTTTCCGAAATTAATATATATTAATATATATAAATGTATATTTAAAAAATCCTGATTTATTTCAATGTATTATAATATAATATATAATATTAAATCTACAGTAAAAAAATTCAATTAATATTAGAAAATATAAGTGATTAAAAAAAAATCGTTAGAAATCGAAAGTTTGAAAAATTATTTTATCTCTCTTGTTAAATTTATGTTTTAATAATGATAGATTATTCGAATTATTCTACGTATATATATTTATACAAAATTTAATTCTTTCCTTATTTAAATTAATATTTACTTAAAATTTTATTTATAAAATTTAATAAATACTTACTTAAATTTGATTTTTTTCAAATATATTTATATTTATTTTTAAATCTTCCACTATTTAAATTAATATATTTATAGTTGCAGAATTATTATTATTCTGTATTGAATTTTCTATGTTTGTCTTGAACCATTTTTGGATGTCTCAAAACTTGATCTGCTCTTTTGCGGACAATGTATTTCGGGGTACTAGAGTTAAAGACGGTTGGCTTCTTGCTGGCACTCTCCCGAGCTCTTCTTGTTTCCTGGCTGGTCTGCAAAGACTTTTTGCTCTATGCGATCTTTTCACAGACGAACATCCGGACATATCTCTGTTGTCGTTGTCGTCTCGTCGCGATGCACGCATGTGCATTTCTACGATAGAAATACAACGCTGTCGTCGTCGTCGTCGTCGCAAAGTCAACGTAACGAATGAGCTTTCTCGTATCAGCTATATCACGCGAGTGACCACATTGGAACGCAAGTACTTATTTACATACGACACAAGAGATTCAAGTTTAGTTGTTCACTATTGTAAGATTTTGAACTCCAACATTCTTTCGTTTTTTTTTTTATATAAAAAAAGTATATTTTCTTTTTTCCTTTTATGCAATTTTTCTTTGTTTCCTTTTTTTAATGACAATGAAATATCACACAAAACTGTGAAGTTCACTAAAAGTAAAAAGCTAAAAGCAGAACAATTAGAAAAAAATAGTTACACAAATGTATAAAATTTTACATGAATAGCATATAATTTATCCTATCATATCACAATAACAATAAGAAAAAACATTACATGTTCCTGCATTTTAGCGATTAAATAACTTCAGGAATGTAAATTTCTCAGTTCGAAAAGAATCGATACGCGATAAGTCTTTAAGGAGTACCTTACGGATGTCACGGCAGGTATTATCACCCTTTATAAGACCACCCCAATCGTTCCACCTTCCTATCTACTCTTTCTATCCATTGCAACGGTGACATACCATCGTATTGCATCTCGAAGCGATTTACAAGAAGCTCATTCTGCAAGATACCTTACAAGGGGCTACCTTTTCTGACTCGTAGGTCCATCGATGTCCTTATATGTCCGCCGATTCTGGACACAGTGTTCACTTTCTGACGTCGCTACTCTCTGTTTCTCTCCTCCGCAACGTCTCCCTTGTAACGCGAATGTGTATGGGGACACACCCGCGCGCGCACGCAATGGGATCCCATGGAGTCATCTCGATGGAATGTCTAGGGCGGTTAGTCTCAAAGAAGAGTGGACGCGTTTCATCCTGCATCTCTGTGTACATCCACGAGAGTTCTCTTCCTCGATCGCGTACCCTCGCACTCCTCTTCCGTCTCTCGCTGACTACTCCCGACTTCCAAGAATAGCTCCTGCACGTTTTTACGCCTTAGAAATCTGCGAGATCGGGTGCTTCTCTTCTAACTGTGGCTATCCGAGTTATTGCACGAAATAACCATAAATCAGTGATAAAAAAATAAATAATTAAAGGACAGTAGTTGAAAGATAAATAAATCAGAGATAAAAAATAGAGAGATAAAATATGTGATGTACATCATATATTAAGTCTATTCTCTTGAAATTATTGGATACGTCTTTTATACACGAATATGTAATTCTTTTAATTTGGAATATATATA